GAGAGGAGAGGGAGAGAGAAAGACAGGCGGAGAGAACGTGTGTGTGTGTGTGTGTGTGACAGAGAAAGGAAGTGCGAGTGTGTGTATGTGTGTGAAAGAGAGAAAGGAGCATGTATGAGAGAGAGAGAGAGAGAGAGAGTGAAGGCATTATGTGTGTATGTGAGAAAAATAAAAGACTGTAGCTGTGTGAGACGGCCAGGAAAAAAATGTAACAAAAGAAAGAAATCTAGGCTAATTGGGAAAAAAAAACACTTTCCGTTTACAATATGATTTTTTTCTCCCCCCCCCCCCCCCCCCCTGATCAGCGAACACTTATTTCAGGTTAAACTTTGCCCGTTTTCATTTTGCGGTGGCACGGTTGACAGAACGGTGCAGAAGTCGCTAAAAAAAAATAAAAGAAATGATGGCAGCTCGTGGTATTTGCATGATACGCCACTGTAAGACCATCCAAACGTTATGGGTGACAAATCGCGATGAAATGGTGATACTCATTGACAAAGTACTGGAATCATATCTAAAAAAAAATATGTGACACACATTTATGAAATGCAGTGTGTGTGTGTGTGTGTGTGTGTGCTGCAGATATATAAAATGTGCATGTTGCACAGTTGTGAAATGTGGGTGGATGTGCTACATGTATATGCAATACGTAGGATTGCACGATTATGAAATTGACGGCTGCATGTGTAACTAAACCTGGCACTCAAATGAATTCTGTTCGTCACTTGGCCAATATTTGTGTTGAATCTGTAATACGTCTAACACGTCTGCATTTGAAGGCTGCTGCAAAGGACACTTCTGTGGGGAATGTCATATTTTGTGGATTTGTTTTACACTTGACCTTGACAACCAAAGTGCTTCCGGTGTGCACGGTCTTTTACCTTTTGCAATCAATGGAAGGAGAGTTGCAGAAGATGCCTTAATGTTGGGAGACTGGAGAAGGCTGCCCTGCCCTGCCTGCCTGCCTGCCCTGCCCTGCCCTGCCTGCCTGTCAGCGTGCGGCTGGTCAGGGCGCTTGCAGCCCAGCTCTCCGGAGAACTCAGCCAAGTTCTCGTTAGTGGTGATTGATACTGCGCACCGATTTCCAAGAGCCACAGCACTTGTCCAGTGTGTCCGGTGTGTCCGGTGTGTCCGGCGCATCATTGAACAATCTGCTCCAATGTGAGCGTGTGTCTCAGTCACAATTTTTGTGAGCCCCACGTTTCCAATCTCTAAAGTAATTCTATGAATGTCCCCCGGCCCCGAGCCCCCCGGCCTGAGTGCGGTGCCTGGCGAGTGATCCTAAATCCGTGCAGCACATGACAGAACAGCGGATCGATGTTAGCGTTACTTCACACACACACACACACACACACTGGAACAAATCGAGCGCAACGCTTCACACCCGCAACTGGAGCCCTCGCCCGGTTCACGCACCTATTGAAAAGCCCATTGATGTACAACAGTAGAAAAGACTTACCGGTGCAATGTTCGCTGTTGAAACCGAAAGACGAACCCGGAAACTTTCTTATATTTTTGGATATTCGCTTTGTTTCTCGCCCCTACGCTGCACCTTCCTCCTCGGTGATAAGTTGCACCCTTGTACTGGCTCTACTGAGCCCAGCACTCACTAGTCTATTATTTTCACCAAAATATATGAAAATTTATGCAAATGTAAATCAGTACAAACTGTTCTCCTGTTTTACTTGCTGTGATTTTGTTCAGGGAAGGAATCTATAGAAAACTGTTTTTTTTTATTTCTTATAAAGACAAATACATGTTTTCGTATTTTTTTCATAACGTTAACCTTAGTGTTTATATATATATATATGTGTGTGTGTGTATACAAACACAAGGGAGAGAGAGAGGTGCAGTGCTTTTTTTTTAAAGTGGAGCTCTCACGTTTCATCAGCCCACATGAGACGCCTTTAAATGCGTGTACTGTGAAATTCGTAGCAGTAATTTAGACAAAATCCTCACTGTATATTAATGAAAGACGGCCCCATGGCACCACTCCTATACTCCCCATTCAGTGTAAACAAAACCACGAGACTCGGTTTGAGAGCGATCCAAGGAAAATCTGCTGGAAAGGAAAACATGCTGTTGGGGCACTGGCACTGACTATTCAGCGTCTGCACCTGGAGATCAGAGATTTAAATGATCTCTGTGTTAACATCTATAAAGCTCTTTCGGAACCAAGAAGAGAAGAAAATCGTACAGTCCGAGAGAGTGAAGACTCTCTCTTCGGCTTCAGATCAGTTCCGCAATTAACTTGGCCACTACGACTAAAAATAAAAGAATTTGGGTATCCAATAGCATCTGGAATTGCTCCAAATCAAGATCTGGACCTCACGCAAAACCCTTCTCTCTTAAAATCCTGCTCTGAGAGAAATGTGTTTTTTTATTTGCAAATCTAAGGAAACTGACGCATCCGAATGCTACAATCCCAATCTGCAATGAGTCGGTGGCATTTTTTTTTCTGTGTCTCTCTCTCTCACACACACACACACAAACTCATATTACTGAGCAGTCTCACCATCTTTGCTGTTTTTGCACATTTTACTTCGGGATTAAGTTGATTTTTTCACTCCCTCGGGAATGGTCAACTTGCCCTTGTTTGGGTTACCACTTTTTATGTGTATAATGTAATCTCTTGGTTGACTGACGCTGGCTATTTGCAGCATTTCCGCTTGGTTGCGTCTTCCTCTCCTCCCCCTCCTCCACCTTCTCCTCTCTCTCCCTCTGTAATTCCCCCCCACCACCACACTGTCACCTTCTCTCTCTCCCCCTCTGCGAACCCCCTCCTCCACTGTCTCCCTCTCTCTCCCTCTGTACCCCCTCCACTTTCTCCTTCTCTCCTCTGCATCCTCCTTCTCCACTTTCTCCTCTTCTATACCCCTCTCCCCTCCTCCACTTTCCCTTTCTCCCCCTCACAACTCCTCTCCCCCTCCACTTTCTCCTCTCTTTCCTCCACCTCTTCCTGCACGTTGTCCCCATCCTCCCTCTCTCCTCCACTCTCTCCCTTCTACCGCTGCAGCCTCTCCCCCTCCTGCACTTCCTAACTTCTCCCACCTTTTCCACTTTCGTTCTGTCCCTCCCTCTCTCTCTCCCCTCCTGCACTTACTATCTTCTCTATCTCTTCCTCCATTTTCGCTCTCCTCTCTATTTTCCAATCCTTCTCGTGTACTTTCTATCTATCCCTCTCTCCTCACTCTGCATTTTATCTTTATCCCTCTCTCCCCTCCTCCTGCGTTTTCTCTCTACCCTTCTCTCTTCTTCCTCCTCGCGCACTTTCTATCCCTCTCTTCTCCCTATCCCAATCTCTCTTCCTCGTACACTTTCTCTCTATCACTCTGTCTAGTCCTCTTTCCCTCTGCACTTTATCTATATCCCTCCCATTCCCCTTCACTTGCTCTCTATGCCTCTCTCCCTGCACTTTGTTTCTTTCTCTCCACACCCCTCTCTCTCCTTCGTCTTCATCTCTTCTCTTTCTATACTACTCTCTACCCATCCCTCCCTCTCTGTATCGCTATCACCTTTTATCTCTGTAACTCTCTCTCTCTATCCCCCTTGTTCTATCCCCTCTCTAGCCCTCTATCTTTCCATCTCTAGCTCTCTATCATTCCATCTCTAGCCCTCTCTCTATCACTCTCTCTATTTCTATCACTAACTTTATCTCTCTCTCCATCACTTTCGCTCTCTATCCCCATCCCTCTCTCTCACACTCTCTCTATCTCCAGCCCTCTCCCTATCATTCTCTCTATTTCTATCACTCTCTCTACATCCAACCACCACTACTCTATCACTATGTCTATCTCCAGCCAATCCGTCACTATCTCTACCTGTATCACTCTCTCTATCTCTAGCCCTCTCTCTCTCTGTCACTGACGCTCTGTGTCACTCTCTCTTTCTCTCTCACTATCTCTAGCCCTCTCTCTGTGTCACTCTCTCTCTCTCTCTCCCTGTCACGCTCTCTATCTCTAGCCCCCTCTCTCTGTGTCACTCACTCTCTGTGTCACTCTCTCTCTCCCTGTCACGCTCTATCTCTAGCCCTCTCTCTGTGCCACTCACTCTCTGTGTCACTCTCTCTCTCCCTGTCACTCTCTCTATCTCGAGCCCTCTCTCTCTGTGTCACTCACTTTCTGTGTCACTCTCTCTCTTTCACTCTCTCTATCTCTAGCTCTCTCTCTCTCCCTGTCACTCTCTCTATCTCTAGCCCTCTCTCTCTCTGTGTCACACTCTCTGTGTCACTCACTCTCTCTCTCTCTCTCTCCCTGTCACTCTCTCTATCTCCACCCCCCTTTCACCCCCCCTCCCCCCCCCCCCCCCCCCACACACACACACACACAATAATAAAGCGGCCAAAGGCATTCGCCTAATTAAAAAGCAGCCAATCGGAACCGCCGGAAGGAAGCCCCGCGCCGGAGTCTGGCGGTGCGGACCCGTCAATCACACAGCGGGTATCCAATCAGCGGGAGCGCCCGCCCGAGCTCCTGCCCCCGCGCGGGCGCGCGCCCGTGTGTGCGGTGTGCGGTGTGCGGTGCGCGGGCGGGCGAGAGAGAGAGAGAGAGGGGGAGAGAGGGAGAGGCGCGCGGCGGCCCGAGAGGTAAACAGTACCTCAGTGAGGAGGGACTGTCAAACAGCAGCTCTCCCCACTCCCAGCACCAGCAGCACCAGCAGCAGCACCAGCAGCAGCGTCCCCACACACCGCAAACTCTCAGCAACAATAACAACAACAACAACCACCGCCGCCACCACCACCACCACCTCTCAACGCCGCCAGAAAAGGAACTTTTTGCTTCGAAAAAAAAAGGAACAACTTGCCACTTTCCCCCCCCCCCCCCCCTCTCTCTCTCTTTTAATTCAATTCGCCTGTGTGCCACCGACAACCGCGAGGAGAAAACAAGAGAGAGACACGGAGTGAGTGAGTGATTGAGTGAGTGAGTGTGTGTGTGTGTGAGAGACAGAGCGAGAGAGAGGGAGAGAGAGGGAGGGAGGGAGTCGGGGGAGAGAGAGAGAGAGAGAGAGGGAGAGGGAGAGAGAGCGAGAACACACCATGGCGACAGCGACATCCAACCCTTACATACCGAATAACAGCATCTTGTCGTCCAACTCCATCGTGCACGGCGACTCGGGCGGGATGCAGCAGACCAACTCGTACCGGGATCCCAGCAAAATGGTGCAAAGCGACTTCATGCAGGGGGCCCTCGCCAGCAACGGGCACATGCTCAGCCATGCACACCAGTGGGTGACGGCGCTGCCGCACGGCGATGCCGGCTCGCCCTGGTCTTCGGCCATGTCCGGCAGCCCCCTGAGCCAACAGCAGCAACAGCAGCAACAGCAGGACGTGAAGCCGTCGGTGCAGGTGGTGGGTCGGGACGACATGCGCACGGGGTCCGCTCCTCTCCATCACCACCGCCCTCCTCACCTGGCTCCCCATCAGCCGCCTCACGCCGGCCACCCGGCCGCCTGGGGAGCCACCACCGCGGCGCACATCCAGTCCATGGGCTCGGCCGGTCAGCCTCTCATCTACTCGCAGCCCGGCTTCACCGTGAACGGCATGCTGAGCCAAGCCGGGGCTCAGAGCCTGCACTCGGGCTTGCGGGACACGCCGGAGCTGAGCGACCACGGGCAGCAGCACCACAGCCACGATCACTCGGACGAGGACACGCCGACCTCCGATGACCTGGAGCAGTTCGCGAAGCAGTTCAAGCAGAGACGGATCAAGCTGGGGTTCACTCAGGCTGACGTGGGGCTGGCGCTGGGCACCCTCTACGGCAACGTCTTCTCCCAGACCACCATCTGCAGGTTCGAGGCGTTGCAGCTGAGCTTCAAGAACATGTGCAAACTCAAGCCTCTGCTGAACAAGTGGCTGGAGGAGGCCGACTCGTCCACCGGCAGCCCCACCAGCATCGACAAAATCGCGGCTCAGGGGAGGAAGAGGAAGAAGCGCACCTCCATCGAGGTGAGCGTCAAAGGAGCGCTGGAGAGTCATTTTTTGAAGTGTCCCAAGCCCTCGGCGCAAGAGATCACCAGCCTGGCCGACAGCCTGCAGCTGGAGAAGGAAGTGGTCCGGGTTTGGTTTTGCAATCGGAGGCAGAAAGAGAAACGCATGACGCCGCCGGGAGGAGTGCAGCAGACGGACGATATGTACTCACAGGTCGGCAATGTAAGTGCCGACACACCGCCCTCTCACCACGCACTACAAACTGCCGTGCAGTGAGAGCGCAGCACAGGAACACGGACTGTTTTGACTGCATTTTTAAAACGAGAGAGAGAGAAAGAGAGAAAGAGAGAGAGAGAGACTAAACGAAATCAACAAGATTAGGACTATCATGACGATAGCGGTTTTTATACTGTGATTGTGAGGTTGGCGATTGCATAGAATGAGTGCACCAAAAACTGCAGATGTCTTCTGTTTTTTTTTAATATATTAAAACAAAACCTAATCCCCTGGTTTGTGGCGATCGACAGCAGGACCCCCCCTGATACCTCCAGATAAGTATGCCTACATTTCCCTGCTGTTCAAAGGAAAAGACTGGTTTATAAAATAAATCATTTCAGATTTGGTCCGGTGAGATCGTCCTTGCAGGCTGGGTGATCAGAAGGTGTGTGGTGCTTTGCAGCGCCTTGTTTTTCTTGGCTCTATCAGGTGCACAGAAAACACCGAACAACAAATCTTTTTTTTTCCTGCTATTTTGAATACCGAGGCGATTCGCGCTGTAGAACAATTTTAACAAATCTGCCAGAGAGAAAAAAAAAGGAGGTATTCGCACTGAATAGAGGAGACTGGTAAAGGGAAGGGGGTCGGTCTTAAGAATCACTTCAGAACAACATTAAAGCGAAGCTTGCAAGGCAAAAAAAAAAGGGGGGGGTGATGGTGGGGGGAGGGGGGGGAGAAGAACCCACAAAATAAAATGGGTTGATCCAAAAATAATGACAGATGGAACTTTCAGCGGCGAGGCAATGTCGGAAAAGGAAAGACAAAAGAAAGACTGGAGGATTTTCGTGAGAAATCGCCCCAGATGTGTCTCTGATGATTGGTTCATTATGTTGTGTATTCCCCCCCCACCCCCACCTCACCACCACTCTCCTTCCCTCTCGTTCCCCCCTTCACGAAAAAACAAACAACCAACAAAAAATCATCGCCTGAATGTTTTCTAATTTCATCTCGAGCCGATTGGAATAGAAGGATTTTTTAATTAAAAAAAAGAGAGAAAAAAAAACACTGACCATCTGCAGCTGCACTTACTGAACTTATCCTCTTCTAAAACCATTGCCAAGTTTGAATGACTGGGTGCTGTGGATGCGACTGTATAAAACTGCCATTTCCAAGCAGTGTTCTTGGTAGGTTTCAATATAGACTTTTCAAAGACGGCAATATAGAGTCAGTAGATCAGTTACTGATCTNAAAAAATATTTACTTTATATTTTCATCAAAATTGACTTCTTTTAATATTTTATTCAGAATACCTATGAACTGCTGCAAAAAAATCGGTAATTTATTTTTCCCCCAGATCTTGTATTAGATGTTTTCAAAACGAGCACAAGCAAATGCGACGAAAAAAACGGACAGTTATTAGGTAATAAGGGTATCTTTTGATGTGATCATTTGATTGTAATTTAATTTCAGTAGTGATTCCGTAAGAGATGATTGAAGAAATAAATTTGTTAGAGTCAAACGATTTTTGTGGCTCATGTGTCTATATACAATGACAGTACCTCAAAAGAAACATTTTTTCAGGAAAAAAAAACGTTAGTCTGTTTTACGTGTTTCGAGCATTTATTTATGAACCAGAACTTCATTGCCATACAATTAAATTAAATGATGTTTTAATATTTAATGCGTCTGTAGGCTTAAGTATTCACCGTTTGGATTTTTTTTATTCTGAAAGTAACGTGCAGGTTAAATTATGTTATGAATTTATAAATCAAATCCAATTGCTTTCTGATTTGTGTGCTAGAAATAGGAAAGCTTTTAATCATGCTTATGTCGCGTGTTGTGCGATTCTTTAGGAGGCATATTTGCCCTCACTCTTGTTCTTTGTATTTTAACGGGTCTCCACGAGATACAGCAAACGTGTGCCTGTGTCTGAATAGATTTACATGATTTTTTTTCAAGTCATTGATTTGTAATGTTTTGAGAACACAAATTAACCATAGCCAGAAGGTCCTGGTGTTTAATTAGTCAGTTTGAATATGCGGTTATTTATCGGGAAATGATTTTCTAACTGTTTACAGGGAGGGGAGAAAAAGAAACTCTCAAAAATAAGGTTCAGCTGCAGGTCACCGCTTCATTGAGCGGGTTGTGTTTATATAGTTTAGACCGGTTTACTCTGTATTTTTTTAAAAAAAACGAGACCCAGTGGGATAGGGCGTCTGGATATATATTTTTTAATCAAAGATGCCTTGTGTATTATCTATCTGCACAATTCTGCTTGTAAATGCGTTACTTATTCAGGGAATATTAAACAATCGAAAGATTAGACCATCGTTAAATCGTTTATTAAAATTAATGTTTGCTGCCGTTAGTAAAATCGGGTATTCCATTTGCACCAAAGTTCACTTCTTTTCCGCTTTTTTCACAGGTATATTTGCATGCATTATATCAATGGTACCCAAATTAAAATCCAGTCATTGAAGCCAAATATGGTGCTGCGTTTATTCCGTCGAGTATTTTTTGTTAATTGTTGGACAATATACAATGAGTATTGGTCTGTTTTGAAATGATACGCAGACGAATAGTTACCTTCAGATGATTTCTGAGCTATTGACAGTATGACTTCTTCAGAAATGTCTGGTTAGTGTGGCCTTGTCATTTGAAGTATGCGGTATTGTTGTGATGCCGATCTATTCTGTGTGTTCAGGTGCAGTACTTGTGAGCTGCTCCCGAGACGCCCAGAGGGTGGAAATACAAGGATTATCGTGAGATTTTTTTTAGTGCGTAGACTTGTGATGGTTTGCCATTGTAAAATAACCACAAGGCTCGTTAAATTGTTGACACGTTCTGGCTTTTCTTCTTTCTCTGAATAGCTTGGTATGTGATGTCAATTAAGTCTTATCCTACAATTAGATGTCGAAAATCTGATCATTCTGTCATTGTTATTTATTTCCCCTTGTGTTGGCTTTTAAGCAACGCTGCGGTTCTGTGTGTGTGTGCAGTGTATCCATGGGAGGTTATGCTTCAACGTTAGCACTGGGACGGTAATTCCCTGCCACTGTATGGGGGCGGGGGTTAAAGGAAGCTATAGTTTGGCCAAATCGATGCATTTTTTGGCATCTATCGTCACTAATAACCTGGCCGATAAGGAAGCATTTCGAGTCAAATGCATAGTATGGACTGTGGGGCCATTGGTGTTGTCAGGAAGACAGAACACTGTTAGCAAATAATAACACGTGATTCTGAAAATGTTTTTTTACACACACACACACATGAAGCGTGTTGCTTTTTAGGAAGCGATACGAGGTGTTTAAACTGTCCTGGAAGATGTTGATTTGTGTCTCTAGAGCTGCAGTTGGGAGTCTGGAGTGGTTGTGTCAGTCCCTGGTGATTAAAAGTATGAAACTGAATCTGATCTCCGATTTTATAAGTTTGATGTTTGTAGGGAAATGAAGCGTTGAAGCCAGATTCCATGTAAGTGCTCCATCATAACAGGAGAGTCACTGGAGAATTGCGTGAAAATATGAAATATTGCTATGGAGGTTTTTCATAATAGTTCAGCTTGTTCGAAAGAACTTGTATTTAGTTATAGCTGCCGTTTGATCCCTAAATCAAAATCCTTCACGCATAGAATATCCGCAAAGATCTTGATAAAATAGGCACAGGAAAGTGGAAGTAACTCAGAACAAAAGGCAAAGCCCATCTAGAATTTCAAATGTATGTTGAGGTGATGAGTCTTGAATTGCACAACATTTAATAGACTTGATGCAAAGCATTCAGATATTCCGCTTTAAATATTTATCGCATTTGCGTTTTATTATCTCACTCGCTTTAGCGATTCACTTAATTTTTTTGCTTCTCTGCGTTTTGCTTATGTTAATCATGTGTCATATATGTTTAAATTAAATCCCCATGTGCATGCAGACAGATTCCTGCTGCGCGGATAACACCCTGCATTAAATGTTGTTTTTTTCTCGGTATATTTCGGCCACTTTTAACTGCCAACGGTTCCCAATATGTTTCACGTCTCATCCTTTTATTTTCACCTCGCTTTCGCTCTCTCTCCCCCTCTCTCTCTCTCTCTCTCTCACTCACAGATGAACTTCATTTTAAATGGCACATCCTTACCATTTACCAAAATGTGCATATCATTTATGATATACTAAACATATTCACATACGCTTGGTCTTGCAGGTGTAAAATTCCAAAGCTGAAATATTTTAGATGTCTGTGGGTTTTTCGTTTGTATTTCGGTGGTTGTACCTTTAATCCAGCGAGAGTCCTTGTGATCGTGCCATTTCTTTCTGAGATTATTGTTCTGCCTTTTGCATCCATTTAAACGGATGAGGATTGCGTGTTCGGCAGCAGTACAATAAAAGCGAGCGAAGAATTGCTAAATGCATTGAGAGGTAGCAAGGTGTATTTAGACATATCTATCGATTGCTCCCTCAAAATGCTTTCCATGACGGTCTTTGGGTTTCTATTTGGAGTGACTGCAATGAGCATTAAGTTAGGAAAACATTCAGAAGTTATCGCACGAGTCCTCAGTTAAGGTTGAAGCGTTGCTACCAACTTAAATGCTGATGAGCCACATTTCGCTCACTGTTGCAACAGGTGTAATCGTGCTTTCTCAGCACCGTTGTGCAATAATTAGGCAAACTTTCCAAATTATATTGTAAGCCCTTGACATGTGTAGATTTTTTAAAACAAATTGTTGTCATAAAATTTAAATTTGCCAAGTTTTGAAAAAAAATTGCATTTGACCTGTCGTTTGAACTTATTGCCAGGCCACGTTTTGCACCTTTTCTTCCACACCAGTCAAACATTTATTAGAATATATGACGCTACGTCAGGGCGCCAAAACCAAATATTGTTGGTGACATTAAACAGACTCTTGGCGTTTGAAAGGGGTGAAGGAGAGAAGCAGAATATAGTCAGGATATAACAATGTATTTACTGCCTTGACGAGGAGCAGAGTTGGTTGATATACAGAGCACTCCGAGAGTTTGTTCCATGTCAGTGGTAGAATGCATTGGCAAACAATCATTTTGAAAGCTTGAACAGGCGAGATTGACCACCAATATGAAAGGATAATTTGTCTTAATTATCAACTTCTTACATAGTATACCGCTCATATACATAGTAACATAATGGGTTTATTTCTTACATATTGAGATTAAGTGAATTTCATTTTTTTTAAAAATAACTTTTTTAAGACCTGGAAAGTAAACGTTCATGGCAATGAGATTATTTTACAGTTGTCTTACTTTTCCAGATTAAAAAAAACTAGTACGATTGTACTGATAACGACATGCAGTAAGCAGGGCGCCACAGGTTTCTGCGTTATTGGGAACTGCGTGGGGTTAGTTTGCATTTAATTTACAAATCGTGCTAGACTTGAATCAAAGTACTTCCAGTTTTCTGATCCGGCTTTCTTTCATTGTAATAATCCCTCAATGCAGTAACGAGTACATTTTTAACCGCCACAGCCTTCCCCTCCCAAATAAAAACAGCGACACTGAACACACTTGCACGATCAACTGATTTTATTACGCTTGTAAAACTCCCAAATACAGGCCTCGTCCCAAATGCCAGTGGTAAAATCTTGCGATCTTGTCAGCTCAGTGACTTGGGCTTTGCACAGTTTCAAGTAACATGCTTGCTTCATGGAAGTGGGAGGGGGTGCTGCAGTTTGGTGTCTGGTTATGTGCTGGGGATTATGCAGGCGGATTGCTGGAAGCCCGGACTGCCAATACACAAGGCAGGTGTTGACCATCTTACAAGTTATTTTTTTCTGGTGGCGAACATTAGAGCACAACAGCCCCTCAAAAAGATTCACGTTTCTCAGATCAATGAGCAAACACTGGTTGCTCAGTAACTAAATGCAACGCGTTTCAAATAACGTCCGATTTTATACAATTATTTAATTAATTTTACCAATGGTCAAAGTGACACGTTGCCAGATTAGGAACATGGATTACTTTGACGATAGGCAGCTGGGTTGATTTTCATATTAAAAAAATACGAGGCGGAGAGAGAAGTTGAAAACGTAAGAGAATTAAGTTTTAATTATCATCGATAAAGATATGTGACATCGCACCATCAGACCATTTCATTTCAAAGGAACATCTGATCAAACTTTAGTAAATAATTGGAAATCAATGTCTTTAAACTATAAAAAAAAACTGGGGAAATGCAGTACCAGTAATTGATTGTTATCGTCAAGTTTGGGCACAACTCCTGAGTATATTTGTTGTGAATCTGATTATAGATTACCCTTGTAAAATGTTGTTCACGGTATTCTGTATTTTTAAGACAGTGCTTTGCACAATACTTCGCAAGTCGAAATATCAGTGTGGTTCCCTGACTATTCCTTGGCTCTTTATAGACGGTTCCCTATGCGGAATGTTAGGGCAATAGCTGGTGAATGAGAAGCAAATGCCTGACCTGATCCGATAAGAACTGAACAGGTCACTCCATCTACTGGGGAAAAGCATAGGAATAACATACATCCTGCAGATT